AAACCTAAACCTAAACCTAAACCTAAACCTAACCCTTTCCTTAACTTAAATCAAGCTTCTGTCGACGCGCTGTTGTCGGCGCGCTGTTGTCGGCGTGTTGATGACGTCGCGGTTTCAGCGACGTGGTTTTGTCGGCGCGCTTTTGTCGTGCGCGCATTTGTCAAGTCACGAGAGTTGAGGACAGAGAAGAAAAAAAGACTCCGGAAGAGGTGATACCAGTTCAGTTTGGAGGTTAATGTTTCCGAGAACTCCTTGCCGAGTTTTGCAGATCTCGGCCTGGCCGCTCTCCAAGCCAAATAAGGTCGGTGACTGTAAATCCTCCTTTGAAAGAACTTGGCTGGAGGTGAACGAGCAGAATTCACAGTCAACTAATCAAAAGGTTTTGGGGTCTTTTTTTAAATTGGGAGAAGGAGTTGGCTTCATGCTCTTGGGAAGCCTCGGTCAGAACATGTAAACGTGAGGAAGAAAAGAAGGGGAAAAAAAGAGGAACACAATTGGAATCAGATACAAAGAAGTGGTTTAAAAAACACAAAAAAAGGAAGCATCTATCAACAGAAACGCCCAAGCGATGGATGAAAAAATCTGGCGTGAGAAGGTTGGATGGGAAGACGGACGGAGGAACCATTAATTAGGGTTCATTGAGTCCTGTTAGCTCCTGATCCTCATCTTAATCAACAGAATAATTTATCGTCCTTCCAGTCACCCCGCTGACCTCATCCATCCATCTTCTCGGCTGTCTTTCCATTTTCTACATCGATCAGTTTTGCATAGCTAAATCGGTTTTGTCCCAAAGGGGTTTTTTTTTCAAGAGGCAACTGGATTTTCAGGGGTGTTTTCTTTTTGAAGATGTTTCACTTCTCATCCAAGAAGCTTCTTCAACTCTGACTTGGATGGAGGAGAAGGGGAGGATTTAGGTCAGGGGTTAAAAATAGAACAGAACAGAACAAAACAGGAGAGGAGAGGAGTGGAGTCGGGTGCAGTAGAATAGAGTAGAGTAGAGTAGAGTAGAGTAGANGAGAGAGAGATACAGAGAGAGAGAAAGAGAAGAGACAGAGAGAGAGAGAGAAAGAGAGAGACAGATAGAGAAAGGGAGAGAGAGATACAGAGAGAGAGAAAGAGACAGAGAAAGGGGGAGAGGGGGAGAGAGAGAGAGAGGGAGAGAGAGCATTCCCTGACCTTTGGGCCTCAAACTTCCTGGAAGAAAAGGAGGAAGGACTTCCTTTTTCTGTTTCCTTCCTGGTTTTTCAGCCTGCCGTTAAGCAGGAAACGCAGGAGAGGAGAAGCAGCGTCATTCGCAACTGACTCCAACAAGCCGGCTGCAGAAATCTTGTGTGTGAGAGTTCCCCAGACTGAATGTCTGGCTGCCCCTCCCCCTCAGCAGATCCCTTTGGTTTCCCCCACTGGATTACCGGGAGCCTTTCGCTCATTGGGGATGAGGCACCGCACAAAATGAGGGTGTGTGGTCTTGAGGTTGGCCATCAACTTGTTGAGGTTCTCCTGCGAAAAGAAAAGGGGAAGGAGAAGAAAAGTAGGAGGAGGGGAGGGGAAGAAGGAAGGGAGGGAGGAAGAGAGGGGGGAAGGGAGGAAGGAGAGGAGAGACAGAGGGAGGAAAGCAAGCAAGGAAGGAAGGAAGGAGAAAGGAAGGAGGAGAAGGGGGAGAATGGGATGAAGAAGAAAAGGAGGGAGGGGGGAAGGAAGGGGAGGCAGGGAGAAGAGGGGAACAAATGGGATGAAGGAAGGAAGGAGAGAGGAGAAAGAGAAGGAACGAAGGGAGGGAGAGGTGATGAGGGAGGGTCAGAAGGAAGAGAGTGGAGAGAGGAAGAGAGGAAAGATGAAGGAAAGAGGAGAGATGGAGGGAGGGAGGAGGGAGGAGAAGAAGAGAAAGAGAAGGGAGCGAGGGAGTGGAAATGAGAGGAGGGAGGGAAAGAAGGAAGGAAGGAAGGAAGGAAGAGGAGAGGAGGGGGGAGAAGAGAGGAAGGGAAGGAGAAAGGAGGAGGGAGACGGAAGAGGGAGGGAGGGAGGGAGGAGGGAAGGAGAGGAGAAAGAGAAGGGAAATGAGAGGAGGAAAGGAAAGAGGAGAGACAGAGAAGAGAGGAAGAAAGGAGGGAAGGAGAAAGGAGGAGAGAGAGACGGAACAGAAAGATGTAAAGGAGAGGGAAGGGAGGGAGAGGAGAAATGAAAGGAGAGACAAAGGAGAGAGAGGGAGAGATGGAGGGATAAGAAGGTGGGAGGAAAGAAAGGAGAGAGGAGAGAGAGAAGGAACAAAGGGAGGGGGAGATGAGGGAGGGTCAGAAGGAAGGGAGGGAGGAGAAGAGGATAAAGAGAAGGGAGAGAGGTAGAGGAAATAAGAGGAGGGAGGGAAAGAAGGAAAGAAGAAAAGAGGAGAGACAGAGAAGAGAGGAAGGAGGGAAGGAGAAAGGAGGAGAGAGGGAGATACAAGAGGGAGGGAGGATGGAAGGAGGGAGGAGAAGAGGAGAAAGAGAAGAGAGAGAGGGAGAGGAAATGAGAGGAGGGAGGGAAAGAAGGAAGGAAGGAAAGAAAGAGGAAAGACGGAGAAGAGAGGAAGGAAGGAGAAAGGAGGAGAGAGAGAGGGAACAGCAGAAGAGGAGAGGAGAAATGGAAGGAGGGACAAAAGAGAGAGAAAGAGGAGAGATGGCGGGAGGGATAGGAAGGTGGGAGGAAGGAAGGAAGGAAGGAGAGAGGAGGAGGAAGAGAGGGACAGGTGGGGAGAGAAATCTTCATTATGGTTCTCCTTGCCAACCCTTAGGGAGGTCAAAATCAACATTTGGCCATTCACTTGGATGGCCCTCAACTCCCAGAATTCCCCAGCCAACAAGCCAAGTTTGGACAACTGTGTTGGAAACAGGGTCCAACCTCGTCCGCTCCGAAGCCCGGACCCTCTGCCCCCCGGGAGGTCCTATCTCCCTCAGAGAGGAGAGAAGGACTTCTGGGAGCGGTCTCCAAGCTTCTGGATTCTCCCCAACGGCCAGGATTGGCCCCGGCCCCACCGTTTCCCCACAGCTGCCCCACGTAGGCGAGCTGGAAGCCATCTTTCTCGTCCCGGGGGTTCCCGCCTCGTACCCGGTGAACCGCCGAGACCGTCTGGAAGGAGGAGCCCTTCTTCTTGGATCCTTTGCCCTTCCCGCCTTCTCCGCCTGAGGGAACAAGAGACGGTTGAGGCAGGGAAGCCATGATGGGACTCTCGCCCTCATCTGCACAAGCACAGGGAGTCCTCGACTTACGACAATGTGTTTAGCCACCAAAGTTAGGGTGGCCTTGAAAAAAAGTGATTTATTAGTCCTTGCCCTTATGGTCTTTCCTCTCCTTTCCTTTTTCTATCCTTTCCTTTTTTCTATCTTCCTTTCCTTTCCTTTTTCTATTTTATTTTCCTTTCCTTTTTCTATTTTCCTTTCCTTTTTCTATCTTCCTTTCCTTTCCTTTTTCTATTTTATTTTCCTTTCCTTTTTCTATTTTCCTTTCCTTTTTCTATCTTCCTTTCCTTTCCTTTTTCTATCTTCCTTTCCTTTTTCTATCTTATTTTCCTTTCCTTCTTATATCTTCCTTTCCTTTTTCTATTTTCCTTTCCTTTATCTATCTTATTTTCCTTTCCTTTTTCTATCCTTTCCTTTTTCTATCTTCCTTTCCTTTCCTTTTTCTATTTTATTTTCCTTTCCTTTTTCTATTTTCCTTTCCTTTTTCTATCTTATTTTCCTTTCCTTTTTCTATCCTTTCCTTTTTCTATCCTTTCCTTTTTCTATCTTCCTTTCCTTTCCTTTTTC